ATAAAACCCTAGGAGCATGATCTCCCATTTTCTTATAAATACCCCATCATTTCATGATGGATGAGGATACACAATTCCCAAAGGCACAATGCCCAAAATATGCTCTCACTTCTCTTTACCTTCTCTCTCTAAAATTCCGTTTTTCGGTCACTAACTTGATCGTCGGAGGCGGATCTCCGGCACACCGGAGATCTGTTGTTTTGCAGGTGTTGAGGTCGTACGAGTGTAGCGTTCAAGATCTGTCTCCCGCGGGAATTCATACCCCCCTTTCGGGTTATCCAAAAAATGCCCGAAACACACGCCTTTTTTATTAAGAGCCCGATCTCACATGAGTCTAGTCTCACACAAAATGATTTGAAAATTTATATACAACCATTGAAATAAGTTGGTTATAAAATGTTTTTAAGAGCATTACATAATGAGAAATAAGATAGATAAATGAATTAAATAAATAATAACACAATGGGATATAAGATAGATAAATGAATCAAATAAATAATAACACAATGGTTGTGGTTAACGATGACAAATGTAACGTGTCAAAAAATAATACTCCTCCGTTTTCTTTCACTTGCAACACTTTCCCAAAAAGGAAATGTCATAATACTTGCAACACACTATAAAAGGAAAGTTACTTTAGGGAAAAACTATACTTTCCCTTATTTAAAGCACATGACCCACTAAATTACACTCTTAACAACCACTCATCCCATATATTTTAAAGTGTATTATATCATGTGAACCCCACATTTCTTAAATACCGTGAAAAAGTTTTGACAAGGGTTGGAACTAGGTCATTGAAACTAACCCCTACCCTAGGCCAAACAAAATTTGTAATCTCTCAACACACCCTTACACAAGTATAATGGTAAGTTGAGGGTCGAACCACTAAGGAACGGTGGGCGATTATCTATTGCCTAAATCAAGCTACTCTGAAATGGTAGGGTGTAGGTATGTAAATTAGGACAAGGATGACTAAACAATGAATTGAAATCAAGTATGTAAAACGCTAGGGCTAGGATCCACATGTAATCGTAACGGATTCAACTAATTGGGAGGTCAAAGTGACTAAGTCAAGCAATGTGAGGGAGGACCAATCATGCAACCAAAACAACGTATCAAGCTATTTTCCTAGAGGTCTAACTAGCGTCAACTACGATAAACTCTAGCTAGGAACGTCACAAGGCACCTCAATCGTTAAATGCAAGCCACAAATCAATGGTCCGTATCAATGTGAACTTACAATGCAATCTAGTGCAACAATCAAAGTTAGCTACTCTTTAATTAATCACGCAAATGCACATGATCATCAACAATTTAATCACGTCATCAACTCCATCAATTTTCCCCAATTAGCATTAATCCATTACTCATACATGCTTCACCATTACCCTAGCAAGCAATCTTCTCACTAGCCATTGAAATTAAGATCAAAACAACACTAAGCAACAAATTCATCATGATCAAATCAAACAAGCTAAAATCAAACACAAATCAATCAAACTTCAATCAAACTAGAACAATCAACAAAACAAATGAAATCAAACTAAAGATCAAACTATAGATTGAATTAAAGAAAAGGAATCCTTACAAACTTGATCAAAAATCAAAGGAAATGAAGAAATCTTCAATCATCAACAATCCACCATGAATTTCTCTCTCTAAAAACCTAGAGTTTCTCTCTCTAAAATCTCTCTAATTATGAACTAATTGTCATCTAATTTTTCTCCTATTATCCTCTCTCTAAAAATGGAAGGAAAGACTATATAAAGGAAAGATACAAAAGAAGAGTTAGTTAGATAGTCTCAAAAGAAACCCTGGAAGGTGCGGTCGTAACAAGGGGGAGGCACGGCTGCGAGAAAATGGGTACGGAACAAGGATCCAGGCAGGCGCACCCGCACTAGGCGCGCCCGCGCCACCCAGGTGCGCGGCCGCACCACCCTCGTGTGCGCCCGCACCTGGAAGCAGGGTAGCTCCCTCTTCTTCGTCCTAGCTCATCCTCGTGCACTCGTCTTGGTGATGATGATGAACACTAAGGCAGGCAGTCTTGAAATGGCTATTTTGGTGGGTTTATGCCAAAGATGATGCCCCCACCGCATGCATGCACCGATATCAAGAACTTGCTCCTTGCATTCCTTCAAACTTCAGCTCCAAATGACAAGCAAGAGGCATCCAAAATGATGAGAAATATGAGAGGAAGGCTCGGGAATCCTCGGAACACGATCATAACCTGAAAATACATGAAAACAAGCAAATAAAAGGGAAAAAGACCAAATAAACAAAGAAATGCACAAAGAAAGAAAAACTAACTAAGGAAATCACAAACTAAAGAAATAAAGAACAAAACTAAGGAAAACTAAAGAAAAGAGCTATAAAATAGCATGAAATTCATCCTAAAAGCAGCCAAATGAGTGCCATAAATGACACTCATCAAGTGTTTGTTGCATCTAAAAGAAAACGGAGGAAGTATATACTTGGGTTCATAAATAAGTAAACTTTTCTATTGGTTAAGGAACAATTGATGGAACAAATATATTACTTCTACAACAAGCAACAACAAATCCTTAGTCCCAAAATGATTTAGCTAGGTCGGCTACCATAAATCATCATAAGAAATCCTATGATATAAAGAAACGAATATATATAATAAAACCATTATTTAAAAGAGTTTGAAATATAATACTTCGATTTCATAATATTCTAAACTATGCCCCCTCAAGTTATTGAATTTCTAAGCCGTACCCATGTTTTTTCAAAGTTATAAGTTTTTCCCTCCATCTCACAATATTTTGTCAACAATATCCTTTGACAGTCATATCCATTAATTAAAGTTAAGTGGCGTTAATCATTTGACATGTGTCCTATTTTAATTGGTCTAACACTTTCAAATTAAAAAAATCAGAAAATAAAATACTCCCTCCGTGTTTTTTTAAGTATTACAGTTTGACCGGCACATAGTGACACTCCTGCCGGCGAGCCCCCTGCCCTTTTCCCCTCACCCTCCTTTCTTCCTTAACACTCCACGAATACAACCACGTGACGCAACCCAGCCCAGAAAACTAACCAGCTAGAAAATCGACCATGAAACAACCAACAATCCTTCCCCCCCCCCTCAAAACGAGCCTCCCTCGTCGTTTCGGAAGTGTGGGAAAGAAGGTTGGGGTTTGTTTCGTGGTGGTTTAATTAACGGAGGAACAAGGGTGGTCGGTTGTTGGGATTTTAAGAAAGAAGGTGGATGTGGCGGGGGTTAGGGGAAAGGGAGAGGGTCTGGTTGGATGAGATGGGGAGGTGCAGTACTGGCCAACCGGTTAAGGTGGAGTGGCGGCTAGTTTTCCGACGAGTTTAGGGGAAGGGTTAGGGTTTGGCAGTGGGGGCAATTCTGTTTTTTTTTAAAAAACTTTTCTTAATGTTTTTATTTTTTAATCTTTTTATTGTTTTTAATAAGGAACTAGGAACGACAATTAACGACCCTAACGTTCGTTAATTAATGTTAACGTTAAAAGTTATTGCTAATTCAAAGAAATGAAGTTGAGGGCACAAATTAGAAGTTTGAAAAAGCATTGAAACATCTTAGAAATCGAAAAAGTCTATGGGCATAGCTTAGAAAAATGGTGACAGTACCCCTAAGAGTCTATAAACTCATGTTGTAGGTAACATGAAACACAGGTATTTAGTAACTATATGTCTCTGAAGAATAGCTCAAGTGGTTAGAGCTTTCCTTCCGATTTCGGGATATCTTGGGATCGATTCTCACCCTTAATCAACAAAAAATATTTCTCAGAACTACTTAAAACTGTAGTAAATCAAGTGGTAGCCTAATGGTATTGTGGAACACCCTACTCCCACATTTCAACCATAAGGTTAATTGCTAAGGGTTCATTTGGCATTGTTGTAGTTTTCTGTTTTTTAGTTTTTTGTTTTCTAAAAGTATATAATATGAGTCCCATAATGAATCAAAAATTATATAAACTTTTTAAAATTATGATAATTTTGAAAACTGACAACAGAAAAGTGGAAACACCATTTTCTTGTTTCCTGTTTTTGGTTTTTGGTTTTAAAAAAATAGGAAACTGAAAACCGAAATTGATGCCAAACAAGTAAGTTTCTGGTAGTAATTAAATTGTTTAGGTGAAACTCCTAGTTAAAAATTCAAAATGGCTAAAAACTAAAATGACCAAGGATTCCTTATGGTTAGTTCTGTATCCCCTTAACTCCACCCACCTAAGTACCTAACAGCCTAATAAAGGTTGTGTGATTACATTAGACTCTTGATTTAGAATGTAACAACAATATTAGATTATTAGGTCGATTTACCAAGAAAGCTAGTTCTGGTTATACTTCTTCTTATCAACTGCAATAATTGATTCATTAGCAAGTTTTAAAACTCACAATTATCAATGTCTTTTTTTTTTTCGACGTATACATTCTTGTAATTGATCATATATTGAATGTAACCTTTAAGAATCATCTGTAAAATTCCAACAAGAGATTGAATAAGTTGAAATTCCATATTTGTTAAGCCCTATACTTGTAGCAGTGGCTATGCGCCTGTGGTCCTGCACCATGACTTAGTTAGGCATGCATCCTGTATATTTCTTCTTTTGTTCATAGCAATTCGCCCATAAGTGTAAGGAGGCAATGAAGACAATGACACGATCAATTAGTAGTTAGTAACTAGCTTTTGAAATCCTTTATTACCCGAAATGTCAAATTAGTTGTACACTCATTGTGGAAATTAAGGACTTCTAAAACATAAACAGAGACTTGATAACAAAATGCATACATATTTGAATAAAGAACAAATATGGCATAGACTTATCTAACATTTTATCTTAGCCTTTGTTTAGGGAATCCTTGTTTCGTATGAAATTATTCTTTTATAGCTTGTACCGCCTTTGAACTTATAAGGTTGGACACTCTATTGGTTTATAAAGTTCCCTTAATTCAAATAAATACCATAAGAAAACTAAGCATAAGCTACTTTGAAGTTAACAAAGTAAGAATGCAGCAAAAAAATATGCATTCAATATTGCTTTCTTTGTGGTTCATTCTCATTGAAGGTGTCATTCAATTACAGGCATCGCATTATCATTGGGTTGTAAGTATATTCTGCTTCGAACAGAAGCTCTTTTTTCTGGTGATATTCCATCTTCTCTATGTATAGCGAAACACTAACTGTAATGACATGCCATGCATACAAGTAAACCATATTAGGCATATATGATATTTTGAAAATAAAAAAACAGTTAGTTTTGTGTACATGTTAAGTTGATGTCTCTCATGACTGCATTGTGGAATGTAGGTGACAGAAGCACCCTACACTAGACTCTGCGGAACGAAGTCTATTCTTACTGTCAATGGGCAATTTCCAGGACCAACGATCTATACACACAAAGGCGAAACAGTTGTAGTTGAAGTTGTCAACAGAAGCAAACATAACATCACCCTTCACTGGTAAGACCATTTCATTGAACTATTCTCCAAAGTTCTGACTGTAGGATGAAAATACTTTCTTTAGATCTAAAAGATTACATTTTTATTCGCTCCTATCTTCCTCATTACTTCAGGTTTATCATCTCCATCTGTGCCTAGTATATACTGTTAAACTGTTACTAGCGTTACAGCTTGATAAGAAAAAGTTTATAGGAAAATTGTTGTCTCTTTTGCAGGCATGGAGTGAAACAGCCGAGAAATCCATGGTCAGATGGACCTGAGTACATAACTCAGTGTCCTATCAAACCAGGAGGGAGATTTACACAAACTGTGATCCTGTCTCTGGAGGAAGGGACTCTTTGGTGGCATGCTCATAACGAGTGGACAAGAGCAACCGTCTATGGTGCTATCATAATCTATCCGAAACCTGGAACTTTTTATCCTTTTCAAAAGCCTGATCTTGAAGTGCCCCTCCTATTAGGTGCCCAATTCTTATATCATCCTCAAAAATAATGTTTTCATGCTTACTTGTCTGCGTATTGTACTGCTATTTTTGGTAGCCCTCTTTGTTCTTTGTATATATTATTTCATACTTGACACATTTCGATGACCAGGAGAATGGTGGAAGCGAGACATCTTTGAGATCTACGAGGAGTTTCGTGCCACAGGAGGATCGCCTAATGTATCAGATGCCTACACTATAAATGGCCAGCCTGGTGACTTGTATCCATGCTCTAAAGCAGGTTAGTGCAATTTTTGTACTTTAAACCTTTCAAGCAATGCAAGAGTAGAATTATGAGTGAAACAAAAGCAAAAATTATAGAAAGAGATCAATGTGAAATTGTTTTATAAAAAGTCTAAGGAACAAAACAAAAATTATAGTTAAGGTCAAAGATAAAGATTATGAAATTATCATCAGAATACAACCACATCACAGGTTTAGATTAACATATTGTTCTTAAGGTGTGTTTGTCACTTATAAAATATTTCCTTGTATTGCAGAAACGTTCAAAGTCCGAGTACAATATGGAAAAACCATTCTATTACGTATAATCAATGCTGCCGTAAATCAAATTCTCTTCTTGGCTATTAAAAATCATTCAATCACATTAGTTGGCACGGATGGAGAGTACACCAAGCCTTTTACAAGTGACTACATAACAATAGCCCCCGGTGAAACCATGGATGTTCTAGTTCATGCTAACCAGCTCCCAGGCCGCTATTATATGGCAGCTAGAGCATATTCAAGTGGGATTAACGTTGATTTCGATAACACCACAACCACAGCTGTTATAGAGTATGAAGGGGTTAATCTTAACGCGTCTTCAACCCTTTCCCTCCCTTACCTCCCAGCTTATAATGACACCAATGCATCTTATTCTTTCACGAGTAGCTTAAGAAGCTTAGCTAGTAAAGACCATCCTGTAAATGTACCCTTAAAGGTGAACCACCGAATATTCTCCACTGTCTCAGTTAACGCGTTACCTTGCCCTGCTAACCGTACATGTGAGGGCATAAATGGGACAAGATTTGCTGCAAGCATGAACAATATAAGTTTTGTTCTTCCTGATATTGATATTTTACAGGCTTATTATTACCATATCAAAGGCGTGTATGGTAAAAAGTTCCCAAAGTTTCCTCCTCTGCCATTTAACTATACTGCTGAATTTCAAGATTTGGCACTAGAAGTATCAAAACATAGCACCCAGGTGAGGATTTTTAAGTTCAATTCCACAATCGAGATAGTCTTGCAAGGCACCAATTTAGTTGCTGGACTAGACCATCCAATGCATATCCATGGACAAAGTTTCTATGTTGTTGGCTATGGATATGGTAACTTTGACAAAAACAATGACCCTAAGAACTACAATTTGGTGGATCCTCCTCTTCAGAACACCGTGATTGTGCCTAGAAATGGCTGGGCTACCATCAGATTCAAAGCTCACAACCCTGGTAAATTCCGATGCTTATATCTTGTTTTCTGATCTGTTTGCTTCATTTCGTTAACTTTGTTAGTCAGACATCAATACATATCTCTGACATACACCTAAGAATCTTCAATGAAAACCTGCACAATGGGCAGAATGATCGGGTTGTGTAGGAAGCTTTTATGCTTCAACAGTTTTGTTCGAATATGTCATGAAAATATGCATTATATGGTCCAAATGAGGTTCAATTAATCATACTTCGTGCTCATTTCAAGTGTGGAGTACCCTGACATGGTTATTACAAGTAAAAAGTAAAAGTACTTTAAAAACTATCTTCCATTCTAATTTGGATTGATGTCAACTTTGTTCAGGAGTTTGGTATGTGCACTGTCATTTAGAACGCCATGTTACATGGGGTATGATGACCACTCTCATTGTGAAGGACGGAAAAGACCCGGAATCACAAATGCTGCCTCCACCACCAGACATGCCACCGTGTTGAAGATGCTACTCAACCAGATTAATTATCAGTTTTTGATGATCTTAATAGAACTCTTGATTTTGGAATTTGTGGTGTTATGTTATTATCTATGGTTAGTCCATTGCAACTGGCACAACCTATTTCATTTGTTTGTGTAGATGAATGCGATTGTCATGGCATTTGGAAATAATGTTTGTAGCGATTTCTTTAAGAATTCATTACTCCAAGAAATTAGAAATCCAGTTCAAATTTTATGGCTCCAAATGCTATGCAACAGGAAAAACATTATTATAAACCATAATTATGTGACTAATCACACTGCAGCGTAACACACATGAGGCTTTGTTATATACCAACATGAACTATATACATATTCTCGGCATACAATAAAACAACAAAAGTATTCTTGAAAAGTCATCCAATTTTCATAGGAGGATATCTCTTCTGCCCTTGCAGAAAATTGTTTTCATGAAATAGGTAATACATGCAGTGACGCACGAGCTGCTAGCAGCAACCTGTACACGATGATGTACGTTGATTTGCAATTTGTCCCCTCATTAGTACATGAATATACGTTGGGAACAGTTAACTCCACATCCCATAACCCATTTGAAGGTAAAAGATTTTGCAGGGCTGCAGTTACTGATGCAGTTTCTAAGTGTCGTAGATGAAGATACATGACACCAAATAGGCACATACAATCCAGCTAGAATCTCAAAGGTCAAACGCTATTTGCATGAGATGACCCACATCATTTAAGTACTTGGTTGAGTTGTACTCTTCTGCATCAAAAAGCTCCACTGAGTAAGATCTTCGAAGGGAAGGTTTTTGAGTAAGCTTCCCAAGTTCAGAAGAGTTTGAGCCACCTTTCAGAATCTGCACAACCTGCAACACAAATAATCCATTAAAATCTCCTTGTTAATGACAAACAAACTGCACACCCGAACCTGAACACATCAACACACACCATCCCAACCCCCCCCCCCCCCCCCCCAATAAAAAGGAAAAAAGGCCAGGAGCATTTTTCTTTGGATAATATGATTCAAAAACATGCCTCACTCATTTGAGGTCTTTCAATTGAGAATTGATGAATACACATGTTAGCTGTCGTGGCCAGTAGATTTATTTGATCCTTGTCATAGCCATCGCCAAGATATGGGTCAATCAGTTCCTTTAAATTGCTCTTGTCAAGAAACGGTTTGGCCTGACATAATTAATTGAAGATGCTTAAGATCAGATAGCCAATATATTTGGAAGACTAGATTAGCAGAATGGAATTTGCGGGTGAGAAAGCATATCTATGTAAAGGATCATGCTCCTACCCACATAACTAGGCTCTTCTGAGTATTATCCAATGCAAGACGACCTGTAATAAGTTCCAGCAGGAGAACCCCATAAGCGTACACATCAGTTTTTTCATCCACTATGCCATGCATGAAGAACTCTGGGGGAAGGTAGCTGTAACAACCAGAGTTACAGTTAATTACTAGTAAACAATGGGCTCATGACAAAAAAGATCATTTAGTTCAATCTACCAACCCGAATGTTCCTTCAAACTTTGAAACGGTGTGGTGAGTCCATTGATCTGGAAGCCACTTTGCAAGCCCAAAATCTGAGATCTGCATTTGGAGTATTAATTAAACAAAAAAAATATATAAAATAAAAAAATAACGTCCATAATTGATCCACAAAATTCATTTTTAGATATTCTATGTAGCAGTAACCAAGAAAATAAATTTACATTTCACACAGTAAAATAACAAATCAAGGGCCTCAGAAAAAATTATTGAGGCAAACAAGGATCACAGCAAATTTCTCAAAAATCAACAATTACAAAAGAGAGACCGTTAGATCGAGTACTAGAATTCCTAAACAACCCTTTAATATGAGCATACAATACCTGTGCTTCAAAATCCTCTGTAAGCAGTATGTTGGCGGCCTTGATGTCCCTATGGATTATTCTCCGTTGACAACCTTCATGAAGATACTGTAGGCCTTCGGCTGAACCCAAGGCAATCTTATATCGAATATCCCATAGGAGTTTCTCCCTGGAACCTAAAAGGCAGAGATAAAGCCTCATTTATTTTCAATCAACAGCTAGTTGAAAAATGTACCAGGTATTAAAAAATGCTCTTCATTAATACCCACCACGGAGTACAGATTCTAAGCTTCCATTAGGAGACAAATCAAGAATGAGGTGCATGCCCCCTTCCACACCATAACCATTAACTTTAGCAATATTAGGGTGATTGACATGCACAATGATTCCAAGCTCGGATAGAAAGTCTGCAGCCAGCTCTTCAGGATCTCCCTTGGACAGACGTTTTACAGCGATTAGATGTCCACTTGGAAGAACTCCCTTATAAACCTCAGCATAACCTCCTTCTCCTATTTTATTTTCTGCACAAATGGGGGCCAGGGGAAATTAACGACAATGTGGATAAATAAATAATTAAGTACAAGTTAATAAATTGAATGGAAGTCAAGCAGCATTATGTTAATAATATTAACGCTCTGCAAAACTAATAAAGTCTTGGCTACATTTTGTTTAATCACCAAGTTTCAGATCACGAACCACAGAAAATCTCTTATAGAAATGGGGAAAAATGTAAATACAAAACGTTAGCTGCCCTTTCCCCTAAATGTAAACTCTGTAGGTGGTGGCTTAAATATTTAAAATTATAGACTTTTAACTTCTTAATTGACAACATCAAAATTACCTTTGCTAAACATATTTGTTGCCTCTTTAAGCTCTTTGAGTGAGAAATTTTTCCAAGATGGCTTGAAGAAGCACATTCCACTTTCTAGTGCAGGTATAACTGGGATCATGCGATGCCTAGCACTTTTACTCTTTCGCCTCGTAAGCTTTGGCAAAGTCAATGGATGAAGTGTCTGAAAACGCTTAGGTCCCTTTTTTAACATATGGATGAATCCTCGCCAGTGGGAATTTTGTCCACCAGAGTTATGTTCCGAGTCTGAGGTGCTCACCGTATCAGACTCTGAAAATTCCTCGGATTCTTCTCTGAGTGAGTGTTCATCTGCAGGCGCTTCTTCTGTCATCTCAAGTGGTTCCTCTGAATGAGAAAAGACTAATATAAAGGTTCTGTCAATATTACTGCAGACTATGTCACACCTAAAACTGGCAAGGATCATAAGCAGAAGAAAAGTAAAATCATCATACCATGAACAGGAAAAGGATCTGAGAGTCCAGATATTCGTCTGAGCCTCTGAAAGACGCCCCTCTCCGCAATTTCTGATGGATCACAAGAACTGTTTCTGCTGTTACCATTTCAATGAAACGAGTTATGAATAAATCAACTTGCCTTCTGCCCTCCCTCCCTCTTCACACCCAAAAAAAGATAGAGATAGAGCATAGAATCACACAAGCAGCTTACTAAAAATGATTCCAAAAGGAGTTCCTTCAACAAAGTCAAGACTAGAAAATCCCACACGCTACATACGTACACACAATGTAATTAAATGTTTTCAATGTGGTCACAAACTTACATAGAACTGTTTTGCTTGTGAAGGATCCCAAATAAACAGTATCAGTTAAGAAAAACAGCCAATTTCCACATACTATAAAATCTTAATAGTATAATATGTTTCAAATGACCTAAACAAGAGAAAACGTAATGAAAAAGGTGCACAAAGAAATCGCAAAGAGACAGCTTGAGCTCATACCCTACAAAAAACAATCATCAGATTGCTTGATGTATTCTGATCTCATTACTGGGTTTTGCACATGATACAGCTAGTTAAAGACATATGATATGATTTTCTAAATGAAGATGAAAAAGGCACATCTACTAACCACTACTCATAATTAAAATTTTTAGATATAACTATGAATATGTAACAGATACTAAAGCCTAATGATGTGAAAAAGGCACATCCTTTGCTTGCACTTTTATTTTGACATCCTTTAACATGCCTCTAGAAAGATTTCCGTTTTAATCTTCTCAAAGTCGGCTATTACATTTTTGCTATCCAAATCACCAAAAGAGTAAAACGAATATAAGTTTCTTAATTGTCTCACATGACTACAAGCATTCATCAATAGTATAGGTTAATAACCTTCCAAAAGAAGTAAACAATCCTATTATTAACTCATTTTAAACATTCATATCATTTCATACATATCATTAGCTTCAGGGAAAGACCCCCCCCCCCTACTGTAAATACATTTGCCTCTCGAAACACAAACATCTCCCTTTCAAAAACAAAGAGGTTTTAATCCACAATTATATTGATTATGAACAAAAATAGTTCCATTTTGACAAACCTTTCCCTATCCTCACCATTATTAACCCCTTAAACACTTATTTAATCTCCAACTCCATAATAACTCTCCAAAACATCCCTATTCTACCATCATTGTTTACAAAATATCCACAATATATGCTAAACAAAATACATTCAAAACCCATATCAGCCATAGCCTTCCTACCCCGGCTTCGGCCTTGGCCGAGAGATAAACATATAGAGCACAAGAAAAAACACTACAAACAACATAGCAAAATTTGTTGCATGTTCAAAGTACTACATTAACAATTGCATTTCACATGAACAAATGAGCACTAAATGTGCAACTAGAATGATCATCAACAAATAACCATCAAATTATATCATTATGAATTTATGATCATTTCTTTGAATTATTTTAAATCAATGTTTATCCAATATCAAACAATTCATACACAAATAAAGCAAAAAACCAAAAGAAAATAGATTTTAAAAAAAAAATTAAAAATGCAAAGAAATTAAAAATAATATATGAAAGAAAATGATGAAAAATTACCGAGGAGGTAGAGGGGAATGCTCCATAAATTTCAAAGAGAAAGGGAAAAGAATGAGGCAAGCCAGAGGAGACAAAAATGGAGAAGTTCTTTAATTTTAAAAATTCCGCTTTATTTCCGAAATACTTTGCTGGAATTTCGGCAACTTTTTTTTTTTTTTTTTTTTTTTTTTTTTTTTTGTTTTTTTGTTAAAAATGGAATTGTTTCGTCTGTTGCTAAATAGGATTATATTACTCTTATCAGAAAATTTAAAATGTACAACAAATATTTATCTCTTATTACAAACAGATAATATCCATTTTTTTTTTTTTGGGTGAAATAAGGATTTGAGATG